GATATGCCCTGTTTAACTGTTTTGCTGGTTTAATTTCTAATGATAAATGAAAAAGTTGCAGGTGGTCTAAATGAATGCTAATGATGAGTCTTTCTAAATATTTTCTCCTTCACTTTATCCGTTATAAATGTTCTAAACATCACATAAAAGGTAATTTGGGAAAGGTGTTTTGTATTCATGTTAGATTACTATCTAAATAATTTTTATAATAAATATTGACAGAAATTGAATCTTGGCTTTGACCAGTTTTGGATTKTTGGCTCCCTGTGTGTAACTTGGACAGCCCTGACCTAAATTATCTGAATGTATGGCAGACAAATCAGAGCTCTGATCCAAAACACAGATTTTTCATCTTTACGAGTCAACCTGCTGTGAAAAAACAACAAACCTTTTTTTTTTCAGATTTATTCTTACATTGCTAAAAAAATCCCTCCTAACACGCTCGACTGTGCTTGAATCCTGCCTTCTACCAGACCCATCATGACCAGCAGCAGCAGTCACTTTGAATCAGACTCTGTCTAAACATTGTGGAGTAACGTGATATAACAGCCTCTCATGAGCGGGCCTTACCCTTTGATTATGTGTCACAGCCGAGGATGTTTTGATAGTTCCTTCTGTCTGTCTGTCTTTCAGGCAGCCAACCAACGATATGTTAACTGGACACATTTGCTGGAAGCTATGTGTTGTGCTGGCCTTGTTTTGTGCTGTTTGATTGTGAATTTGTTSAATCTGGTCTGTATTTGATGCAGCGACACAGAAGTCTGCAGAAATTACTGTCTGTCTTTTTTAATTCTCCTGCGAGGAAGAACAGGTTTCCATTTTATTTGGCCCTTTGCAAAGCAGCAGCTCTAATGTTAATAAATGAGCTGAAAACCTCATTTGTCCCACAACAATATTGCGACTTCTCTGATTTGTTGAGGTTTTTGTGACATTTTATTTATTGCTTTAAAAACAAACTGTTTGCTGAGTAAAACACTTCCTGTTAGAAGTGTCTCATAGTCAGGAGTTTTTTCTATATCTGCGTGTACAAATAAGGCATAAATTCTAACATTTGTTAATAAAATAAATTCAAATRTTGTAAAGTTGTTTTTTAAAGCTTTTATTGAAGTTGAATATCAAATACCTAAAGCTCTTATCCAACATCTTGAACTTTGCTGCCACCTTGTGGTTGTAATATTTTACTACACAACTATATGTCAAAAATAATAAACAATTCCTTCATGGATTTAAAATGTGTGTGTGTGTGTGTGTGTGTGTGTGTGTGTGTGTGTGTGTGTGTGTGTGTGTGTGTGTGTGTGTGT